TCAAGAATATTCTGCGAGCTTTACAAGATGTCCTGCTATAATGAAACCCCTTGAAGTCACAATCTTTGTCTGTTTATGAACCCAAGCATTGAGAAGGTGCTCAATAAATATTTCTCGTATGAATTTATGAGTGAATGAATATGTTTCATTAGAGATGCCCCGTGTCTGGTTTAAGCCCAACCAAGTCAGGCAAATAAGAATTACTAATCAGGGTGCTCCTTCTAAATGCCAGTTCACGTTTTTCAGATGTCGTATTTCTTGTAGCACAGCTTCTCATGTCTTTTTATTCACTTGTTGTTAACTTCTTTCCATTTTATTTTCATAAGTGTTATGATTATATTTATAACTTAGTATGTCTCCAATCATTTATTTTTGTGATTTTTCATGAAAAAAATTGAATGACATAATTGTCATTTATGGCTATCTACATTTGTACAATTGAGGAGGTAAAAGGGAAAGAAAATTTTTATAACTGCTTTGTAGTAACATACTTAGTTCACTTGGTAAAAAGTAGAGATCACTGGGCAATATGAAAACAAAGAGATTAGCTGATATCAAGCTGTAGAGTTTGCCATTTATTCTCATTCTTTCTTTCCTCCATTTCTAAGACATATTTCTGTGACTTTGATTATAGTCAAATATAAATTTATCTATATGTGATGCCATTTAGAAAAATGCACTTAATTTACCAATCCAATAACACCTGCAACCCACACATCCCAATAGTTATACTGTGTTCATTTTAAACCTAACGTGTTCATTCTGATTCTGAGGGCAGAATATCAGAGTGGTTAAGGGCATGGCCTCTCGAACCAGGATCTCTTGGCCTGAAACTTGCCCCTGGCTCTCATTAGCTATATGAACACAGAAATGTAGTTAACTCCATGAGCCCTTTTTTTTTTTTTTTCATCCTTCTAATGTAAATAGTACATCTCATTGTAGGAGTTCGTACAAGTTAAATAAGTTAATATATATCATGTTCCTATAACAGGTACTAGCAAATGGTAGGTGCCAGTGTTGGTTTTTCCCTGTTTCCGTTGGGATCCACTGTGGCTTTCACGGGCTTGCTCTGTGTCCTGAAAGGCCAACCATCATGTTCTTCATCACTTGGGCTCCCTTGCCCTCTGATTTTTGGATGGATTTGCAATTGGAGACAATAGAAAGAGATGGAAAAACAGGAGGAGTGAGATTGTGGTATCCCCTGTTCCCATTTGCTCACTGCCTGATTGTGGTTTTGGCAATGATTCTTTCTCCAGTCTCTTCCCGTGCTGAAGTTCACACTACTGTGCGTGATCTGTGTCCCATGGCTCTAGCTACTGACAGGTCTGACAATACTGCTCCCTCTTTATGCCCCATCAGTCTTCGTGGAAGTCAAGACTTCCTGTGCAGCCAGACCCTGGTGCTTCAACACTCCTTGCTATTCCTCTAAGCCTATTTACATCTTTGTTAATAATCCCTTTATGTAACTCTCTTCAGTAAACCATTTGAGTGTAACATTTATTTGCCTCTGGGGTCACAAACAATGCAGTGCTGAATTATTTAGTTTGAAGTAAATATTAGATTATTTCCTTTAAATAAATGGAGTATCACTAACAGTGATAGACATGAAGGTTTCAAAACTTAGGTATGGAAATTCAATTTTATTAACCTGTGTGTAACTAATAGTATAAATTTCCTAAAAACTAAAGGGGAGGTGAGTGGAGCTGGGACTAAATTTCAGTTACTGTAGAATAAAGGCTGAAAGACCTTCCCCATGAACCCTTCTCTTTCTTTCTTCTGGAAAGTGTTGGAGGTAAATAAGTACGTGGAATACAAAGGAGTGGTGCTTACATGGCCAAATCATGTCCAATATAGACCAAGGCCTAGTTTCAGGGTTTATTGAGGTGAAGCATCAAGATTTTGGAGTTGCTGGGTAGGCCTAGGGGAGACTGATTCTCAGTGCTGGGTGGAAGAAGCTTGCAAGGCCATATCACTGAGCACTAGACCTGGAAAGGTGCTTGTAGGAAATAAATAAGAAGGTCATTACTGGTTTTCATTTTCATAGGAATTATAGGAAGAAACTGGAAGCATGCAAAATTATTAAGTACAATGCTGTATATTGTGGTAATGTAATAAGTATAACAAGTTTTTACTCAATTGGGCACTCAACTGATAAGTCCACTACAGAAGACTCAGGAAAAACAGACTGTTTCCTTATCTCTACTTGCTAACCATATTCAGGATCAGTGCAGGCCTGAGCTTGCAGGAAACAGAGACCACTGTGAGCCACAAAGGTGAATCTGGGGCATGCAGGCCTTAACACCATGTAAAGCACTACCATTCCATGAACAAAATAGCAATCGTTATATTCAGCCTGGAAATGAATTTAAAATAATTGGCCCTATGAAGCTTTCCCAATAAAACTCAATTTCACCTTATTCAGAGCTAAGCATTTCTAACTCTCATGTCAAATAAAATCCTACAGATACCTCAATTCTCACACTTATCCTAGTAAGAGTAGAGAGAGTATAATGCTGAGAGAAGGGGTTAAGAGGTCTGGAGTCAGACCTCCTGGATTTGAAACTCAACTCTGCCACTTACTATTTGTATAACATTCCACATTTTTTCTTTCTACCTCTGGATGTCTCTTCCATATTTTGGGGATTGAAATAGCACCTATTTCTTAGGAATACCATGAGCACTGAATAAGATTATATGGGGTTACTTCAAAAAGTTTATGGAAAAATAAAACTGAAAGATAATATGAATCTTTCCATGAACTTTTGTCTTTTTTCGTGTCCGGCAACGGAT